AGAAAGTAAGCAATCCTGCGATCCGCTAATTAGCTATTCATTCGGTTAAACTGAGGTCAGGTGACTGTATGGGTGACTCTGTGATCCCTGAAGGGCCGTGAATCTGAGATGATCCTTGGTGCACATCTGCCTTCCTCCTTGTGCTTCTGTAGCTAGGAATGCTTTGCCATTACTCCTGGACTTGAAGCTATTTGCCCTGACTGAAAGTGAAGTTGGCTTCCAACTTGGCTGTGGGACCTCAAGTGAAAGGGATGGAGCCTCAAATAGAAGGGGTATGGTGGGGCCACATAAGTGGTAAGGGTCTTTGCCTCTGCCACTTTTGTAAAGGCTCTGCTGTCTCTGCAGTGTTGTCCATACTTTTGCAAATTCTCAGGCTGTGGTACAATTCAAGCAGAGTCTGTAACCCTCATGTTGCTTGAAATTTGTAATAAAATGATCGCTGTGTGAATAAAATAAACAGCATTCCCCAATCAGATAGGAAATGGTCCCTGCTTATATGGGAATGGAGGTACAGTGAATCCAGATTTGGCGTTAACAGCAATGACAAGTATAGCAATTGTGCTTACTGTTTTCTGTTTGATTGAAGTTCTTCTGTTTTGAGAGGATTTCCTGAACCTTAAATGTAGGTCAAGGTGTAGTTTAGACCCAGAGATGATGATGATGATAACGTTTATAATAAGTAAATAAAAAGATTTAGGGCTCAATTCAAAAGCATCTGGCTATTTGCCTATTGTCTACTCCTGCTGTAGCGTGATCGTGGTATGTCTGTCACTTGCATCTCTTCTCTCTTTAATTTTGCCAGTCTGAAAAGTACCCCAGAGGTTTATTACCAAACAGTGTCCACTTTGTCAGGGCTGCTTCGGTGGCTTTGGTTTCGTTATCTTTGGTGCTAGCAGTGGGAGAGCGTGGGGTGGAGAAACCATCTGAAAGTCTGTAGAAGGACCTATTTGTAGATGAATGCAGCTTCTCACCTGAGGGAGGTGGGTTTGGCATCTTACATTACAAACTTAATAAAGGGGTCTTGTGTCTGCCGCTGGGGAGGGGGGGAAGGTAGCAGGAGTAACGCTGAGAGACCAGGGCCTGTGAGGTGAGGGAACACAAGGCAGCACAAGGAAACAGTTATTCATACAGACAGGGGCCAGTTATCTGTCAGAGGCAGGAAAAGAGAGTGTAAATCAGACCACTGAGTTAGGACTTTGTACTCTATTACGAGTGATGCCTTCGGCAGCACGTGGGGGCTTTTAAACAAGCATGGGCTCTTTACAGAGTAAAGGGAACTGCTTGTGTCACAGTGGAGTGAGTTCTCCTTATTTTCTTTCAGCAGAGCTGGGGCTAGGTGTTTTCCCATGATGCTTCTAGTCTGCTCCAGCATGAGCTTCACTTCCTGTGATAAACTGGTTCTCAGGCCGCAGCTTCAGATGTTATCAGCCTCCATTATTATTTTTAAGGGACAATAAATTTGAAAGTAGAGGATTGTGAAAATGAAGACACTGTAGTACTCAGGCAAGTACCAAGCAGCATAGAGCTCTGCAAACATGTCTGTCCAGCTTTTAACACCATTTTGCTGTTCCAGTTGTAGGGCCTTCTTCCATTGCACCTAGTGCCTGAATAGCAATCTTCAGACTACCATTTGAGACAGTGAGTGGTGGTTTTAGGAAGCAGACAAAAGTCTGCCAGAGGCTAGGTTAAGAACTAAGTCCATGTGTAAAATCAAGTCTTTCAAAGAAAAAAGCTAGGCTAAGAGGCATAATGTGCACTTAGGTTTATTACTGCTCAGTAGCAATCCATGGTGGGCTGGAAGGATCCCAGGAGCTCTACGGGTGTAAAATCCCATTTAATTGATTCACTAGTTAATCATCTTGTTTATCCGATTAAAGTGGGGGGCGGAGAAGGGCCACTGCAGCCCAGTTGGAGGGGCCGCCCACTGCTGACTGAGGCTGGTTCCTCCCACCACAGGCTGGGGCTGCACTGGCCACGCTGGAACAGCCCCTGCCTGCGGGACGCCCAGGCCCACGGATAGAGGCTGCATTGGCAGGCGGGGAGCTGCTGCAGTGCCCACTGGTTAACCTTTACTGGTAAAACACCCACATTCCTAATAACGGCTCTCTGTTTGAATCCCTGATCAAGCTGAGGCGTGATAGGAGTCTGGTGTTTCAAAGAACGCTGCTAGCTTACGGAGTTCTAGCTGCCAACCCAGCAGGGGCTAGTGGCTTTGCTCACAGTTCTACTCTGTCTTCGGGAGCCAGAGTTTGGAGGACTTGGGAAGAGATTTTATAGCAAAGATGACAATAACCTATTTTTAGATGTGCTCTCCTGGAGCCATGGGGGCTGGTGGAGGGAATACCTGAGGTATCATACAATAAAGGGGAGAGAATACCTGAAGGATCCTACAATAAAAGGGAGGTCTGTGGGGTACATCTTGGTTCTGTCCTTTCATTTTGTATATGTGTACATATGAGATGATTGTCCAAAAAAAAGCGCCAGATAATAATCTCCTGGTTAAATATACTGCTGCCTGCATCCCTTACTGCTAAGCTATCCATGCCCTGATGTATATTTGATAGGTTAAACTGGCTTTTCAGGTCTAGAATAACTCCAGATAACTTCTGCAGAACAGAATGGCTGTGAGGTTTCTGTGTTACCACCAAAGTGTGATTCTGATGAAGCAAAATCACACTTTTTAAAAATGATAAATGTCTTTGCCATGGCAGCTGAGACCTTGTGAAATCAGGGATTGGAATTTTTATTAATCGCCAAGTACAGCCCAGAGGGCAGGGCCTCCTGCTTGCATGATGTAGTATGTCTCTGGAGAACACTCAAGCCTGCTGTTTCAGTTCATTATGAGTGTAAATTAACAGTGCCTTTCCTCCCAAGGTGGCGTACAAACTATAGCCCCAATAAAACATGTCCAGGAGGAGAGAAGTAACAAAATAATACACTGAACATTTCACAACACTGAGGGGAGGGAACATTTTGGCAGAGCTTGTAAGAAACAATTTGCTTTGTTGAAAAGTGCCATGGGATATTTAATGTCCTGACGAAACAGAGAGCATTGTGTTTAAAGATTTCATCTGAATGATCCACACACAGTAAACTGAAGGGAACTCCCATTTCAGTACAAGGGAAGTTTTAATTGGTGTGGGGAATGTGCTGGGAAGAGCGAAGGAAGAGAGAGAGGAGGAAGGAATGTCAGGGAGAGGGGTTGCAAGAGTGCAGTGTCCTTACTCTTGAGATGAAATTTGGGCAGCATTGCCTTTGTCTCTAAATGTTCATTTATATTTTAAGCTGACCAGAAAACTTTCGACATAGACATTTAGAAAACCCCAAAATTCATAGTCGTCACTATACAGTTACTCTTCCCCACTGAATTGGGGTGACTGTTTGAAGCTTCTGATTACAGAATACATGTTTTCATTTTTAACCCCCTCAGTGTGCTGATTTAAATTACATCTCTTCTTGCCAGCCGTGTAAGTTAGGTTACACCGCAAAGTAATGATTAGTCTCAAAGTTAGACTGTTGCCTCCCTTTTTCCTGTTCCTCCATTGCCAGCAGCATTGTATGTAGTCTTGTGATCCGTGGGCTACATGGAGGCTGCATGTTTGTGGCTGAACTCCAGTAACTTTGTTCTGCCTAAATATATATCCCCTCTCCCGATGGAGTTCAGATGTATAAGCTGTTTGTCACTGTTGTATTTCCTGATTCTAGCTCCGAGAGGCTGTGATTCAGTGCCTGGTGAACTGCCACGGCTCTGCCTACATAGGACTTATGAGTGGCATGCTGTAAATCAATCCATTACAAACTGAGCTTTCATGGGACGCAAGTATATACAAATGCAAAGGCTTTTTGCATTTTCTTGTTGCTTCCATATATGCAGTGAACATGTGTTTCTTGAGGTAGAGAAACAGCAGATAATGAAAAACCCTTTGCCTGGATAGATACTCATGCTACCCAGCTTGGTTTTTCTCTGGTTGATGGCTCTCCCAAGTAGCACCATCTCACCACTGAAATGAAGCAGCTGCTCTGAACCAGGAGCATGGTACAAGGGAAAGGAATAGCTTTCACAACCAAACAACAGTGGTAATTTCTTTGGGCAGGATGCAGTGATCGGAATTCAGAGTTACATGTGGTGGTGGTGGTGGTGGTGGAGCCCTCCTTCTGAGTTTTCACCTTTACATTCATGATGCTAGAGCAGGCTAACTCAGACCAAGGCAAGCAGAGCATGACTCTCTCCACAAGTGCTTGCAGATTCACCACTGCATTGGCCAGTGTTATTGTGGAGTCTGCATTGCCACTCCCATCCCGTCCTGGCGCTCAGTGCAAAAAAAATCTAGCTTGGCCAGCTAAACACCATTGAGCTTTCTTATAGCGCTGCCAACACATGATTGTACATTTAATTTCCTCCTGTCAGAGTACACATCTTATGCAGTGACTCCCAGCTGCTGTGAGCCGCAAACCAAGATAATCACAATGACACCAACGTGCCTATGAAATCATTAAAGCCATTATCCCTTTTTATGCTAACTGGGTGGGGGGAGGAAAACCCTTGGGGGAGACATTTAATTTTGGAAGAGCAAAAAAGCCTCTTGGTTCCTGATAAATGTCACTCAGTCTCTGTAGTTGTGTAATGACTGTAAGCACCAGGGTGAGGGAAAGTCTGCCTAGACACTGACCCTGTGAGGAACAACAAAACTGACATTAGCCTATGTAGAATGCTACTCCCAGACTGCTGTTTCTGATGGCTTGTTCCACCCGTCTTGTTAGCAGCCATCAGCAATATCTGGTGGTGATTACCCTCTCTCTTCTCTAACTCCTTAGCCCCATATCCTGGGGCTCAGGATATAGGTTACAGTTATGAAATGGCTCAGATGTCTGCATGGAACAATAGACTAGATATAGGAACAGGGGCTTGTTAATAACAAATGAGCTAAATCATTTTTTAATTTGTTTTTCTGTTTCGTCTCTGATCTCAATGTGTGGTGGTCACTTTCTTTCCCCGCTAGGTGACCTGGAAAGTGAGGAATGGTGTCTGGGAGCAGAATTGACCTCAGCGACCATAAAAACTGAACCCACGCTGTGTGAGGCACCAGGCCTTACCCCCTCGGTCAGTCTCACCATCACACCCACGCCACTGGAAGGGGAAGAATCCCAACTGCAGTCTGATGCCACGGTACTTGCAGACTTTCTATTCTCCTGCTTGTCCATATTGAAGAAGGCTCCCATAAAGCTTTGCCATTGCAGTGTAGCCTTTCTATTGTTTGAGAACTCCAGGTAATTATATAGAGTATTATGGTTTGGTATCCTCTCTGGATTGCCAGTCTCCAATAATACTGTGACTGCTCATTTTTAAAATGACATGTCTCTATTAATGTACCGTTGGCTGCCCCATTTGCTTTTCTACACATTCAGCTTCTTCTGGACAGAATAAAAAAGCTTGGGGTTCTCGCTTCTCTCGAATGTGAAAACTTAGTCTCTGAATCAGTCCCACTTAAAATTGCTAACTAGTTAACCCTGGGGAACCTGGCAAGCTGTACAGCATCTGTTATCAATGACGATTTTGTCTCAGGGTTGTTCGAACTCATCCTAGCCCAAATGAAAACACCCATGTGAGGTGGCCAGAGCTTGTAATGAGAAATTCTCTGTCATGCTTTGTAAGGTCAGCTGTGCCACATATCTGGGTTTTCATTGCATTCAGCTTTTGCAGCGTATTGGGCTGCTGATGTCTCCAGCCCAACAGGTTTAGTAAGGAGCGTTCCTAACATGTTTGTGACCACAGGCTCGACAGCCAAAGAACATTCACCAGGGCTTCGTTTGAATGGGCTTCAGTCAGTGACAATAAATGACAGGATTAGACAGCTCTCTCCTTTAAATGTCTGTTCTTTCAGCTCTTCCCTTCCCGCCTAAGTAGCCAGGAAGGGTGGTTGTGTCCAGTCCAGGGTGATGTAATTCCAGTTGCACCATGGGCAGGCCATGTTCACATTGCTTATGTGAAAACTAACTTACTTCACAGGAAGGCAAAAGATTTGAGACAGTCATAATCAATGTAGTTTGTGTGTGAATTCCTAGTCTCCGGGATGTGCCACTGCTATGGCTGGGGTGCCACAATATCACAAGCAGGATCAGGACCACTTTACTCTTCAAAATTCAGTGGTTCCTGATCCTGTTTACTTTTGCTTTAGGGCAAAATGTCACACAGTGAGATCTGGGCTGTATTGGCTACTGCAGTGACCATCACTGATTCACTCAGGTCAGGAATTACAGGATCAGAAAGCAGGTCGACTCCAGCCATGTGCTCAGCTGTGGGGGCACCATCTCTCTCCGTATCCTCTTACAGTTCTGGTGTATAACTTTATTTGCCTGTTCCTTCTCCATTTTGCAAAATGAACTTGACCCCAGTATCCCAGCTCATAATGACAAATAAACCTATGCCCTTTCCAGAGGGTAACTCTCCTGTCGTCCTCTCAACAGTGCAAAGTGCTCTGACTTCTCCCAGCTGCCAAACCCTCCTCCCACCAAAAAGAATATTTCTCTTTTTGCAGAAACCTGCTGAAACTCATTGCACCTTGGTCTAGCAAATGCTAGTGTCAGCTCTGTTTCCAAGAGTAGTAATTTGAATGCAGAGCACATTACCCGTTGGTCTGAAATGTCATCCTGAGAAGTAATCTCTTCTTTAACTAAATTATACCAGTAAGAGAAGCCCCAGCAACTGTTTTCCAGGAAAATGGTCTCATTGACCTATGTTAATATGCTACAGAGAAGGAGTGTAAAAATATCTTGGAGTAGGGGGAGCAAAGAGGTCTGGTTGCTTATGGAGAAGCTTTCCGTTTTCTTATACTCAAATTTTGTGTTTTTTAAATTCCTTCTGTAGATGAAACCGTTGAACCAGAAGGTTCTTCCAGAGATTAAATTGGAGCCACATGAAGTAGATCAGTTCCTGAACCTGTCTTCTAAGGAAGGTTAGTTAATTACCAACCCAAGATGCTGGGCTTTCTGTCTGTCTTTGCTAATCTCCAGTCCAAGCCTGCTGCCTCCTAGAGATTTGATTCATGCTGCTAAAGAAACCCACCTCTTTGGCCATTTATATGGGTTTTTTCCATAAAGAGAATGATCCCTTCCATCTGTAACATATTATTTATTGCACAATTACTGGACAGAACGAGAATCCTTGAGATCTAGGTTACTTAGACTGGAAGAGAGGCAGACTTGAGGGGACTTGATTGAGTGTTTGGAATTACGAAGAGTATAGCACACACTGACTCTTCCTCCTTTTTATCTTATGAACACAAGAATAGCCATACTGCATCAGACAAATCATCTAGCCCAGCATCCTGTCTTCTGACAGTGTGGCCAGCAATGTGTGGGACAAGTTTATACTGCTGTTACTTGTGCTGTACCTACTCTATGGATGAATAAAAAACTTCAGTCATGAGAGTTACCTATTTGATACCTTCAAGAAAAACTAAACTACACAACCTGCTAAATAATCTGCTGCTTGACTGTCAACTCTCCAGGGCAGAGACTGACTCTTTCCTCACTACGTTCTTAGTGTCTGGAAACAAAGAACAATTCATACACAGTGAAGTTAGAATTGAATTAGTAATAAAAAGAGATGGTAGATGGTTTGCAGAGTTAGCATCCAGACAGTGCTTAAACTCTGCTGTCTCCATTAATGCTGCTTCAGGAGTTAAGGGGACATCACATATTGGAGGAGTCTACTTTGTACCACAGAGCATGAGGGGGGGGGGGGGGGGGGGGGGGGGAGAGAAA